AGGAAGGAACATCAGCAAGAGCTTGAGGATCTTGGAATTCTAATTCAAGAGTGCCCTGCTGCCTGGTGGAACCCAAATACGACTGTTTGTGTTTGCTTCATATTCGGTTCAAGAAAGGTATGGGAAGCAGCCTCAGGCTGGACTGCAGAGACTACTGCACAGTAGAGGGTTTGAGGGAAGCCTGCCTGTTTCCTCTCTGCCATTTGTTTATAAAAAGGACCTCAAAATGATCAGACCCAAAGGCCAGGCCCCTTTCAAGCAGCATGCTCTAGGACCCCCAGCACAGTTTGGAGAGAGCTTGGAGCTGGGGGTGAGGCTGATGTGTACCTGATGGTCCTCACTTCAGGCTCAGGCCCCCCAGCCCCACTGGTGGCCTAACGTAGTGACTCTTACACTTTTTTTTTTATTGTTTTTAAGACAGGGTCTTACTGTCTAGCTCAGGTTGGCCTAGAACTCACCATCCTTAAACTCGTGATCCTACTGCCTCTGCCTCCTGAGTGCTGGGATTACAGCACTCAGTGCCACCACGCCCAGCTGAAGAGCTTTTTAAAAGTGCAGATTCCTTGGTGATTCACAACCATAATCCCACCACTTGGAGGCAGAGGCAGGAAGGATCACCAGTTCAAGTCTGACCTGGGCTACCTCGTGAGATCCTGTCTCTTTAAAAAAAAAAAAAAGTGCAGGTTCCTGAGCTGCACTCCTGAAGATCCCCAAATGGGAAGATTGGGCCCTGGCCCAGGGATCTGCATTTTAACAGGAGGAGAGATGCAGGTGGCACCCAGCCCACCTTGTGAGAAACCCTGGCAGTTGCCAGTGGCTGAGATGGTTCTGAGAAAGAAACTGACACAGGGGTTCAGCCAGGCAGGGGAGCAGTGAGGTCAGCTATTCACCTTGTCCTGGTGGGGAGGCAAGGGCAGATCTGCTCTTTGTCACCTCATGAGACAGTAGGGATGTCCAACAACTCCCCAGGGTTGGACAGGCATGCTACAGGGGTCTAGGGATCTTCAGATCCCCTGGTTCACAAAGACAGCAAGTCACCAGGGAGCTACTTTTGCCTGAGACTTTGAGATACCCAGTTAGAACCTTCTCCACCCCAGCTCTCCCGGGGAAGTGACAGTAAGTTTGTCTTGAGCTTAGTGGCCTGGTCTCTCCTCAGGCATCCTATTTGCCTGGAGAGACCACATCATCCATGCCACATGGGCCTGTGAGGTGTCAGGAACTGTTGACCACTTCAGGAACTGGCTGAGTTCTGGGAACGCCTCCCTCTCCTCTGCAGACATGAAGGTGGTCACTCAGGGAAGCCCGCTGACTCTCACTTCCTGATGCTGTCACGATCCTAAGGGTTGGGGACACTTGAGATTCCATGACTGATCTTTACCACCACTATGCTTCCCTTACAAATAACAACCCAGCACAAATCTCTTAAACTACTGGCTTCAGCAGTCAGGACCTGCTCAGAAGGAGGCCCAGAGTCCACTGAGCTGAAGAGGACCTACTCTGCATGCTGGGCACCTTCTAGGAGGGAAAGGAAGGCAACAGAGGCCAGAGGATGAAGTAATGGTGGCTGGTGTGTCCCTGCAGGAAAGGTGTGCACACGACTCCACGGCCCACAGAGGATGGTGCATGTGGGTGTCCCAAGTGCACTGTGGGTATGTAGCTCACATTGCTCCAAGCCAACAGAAGGCTAAAACCGAGAGGAAAAGGTCAGAGAGGTGGACGTAGGTAAATGCAACCAATCCTTTTAAGGTGAAAGTGAGCATCTTCTACATTTAATAAAAACATTTTCTCATTTGAGGCTCTGGAAGTCTGGAGTCACATTGGTTTCTTTTTTTTTTTTTGTTTTGTTTTTTTTGTAAATCCCCTCTAAAATGTCTTAAAACACATGGCTTAACAGTGGCTGCGCAGAAAATATACACCCTCAAAGTCTGACTTTCATTTAAATACAAATATACAAAATGTAAACTGAGACAATAGAGAAATTTACAAAACTTTTCTTTAAAAATAATAAAGACAAAATTCAGTTCTAGTTAGGACGCTATTAAAATACGTGCAAGTTGTCGTATCCTATTGGGTTTCTATTGCGGTGTTCAACAACGGCAAATCCAATCTACCCCTGCGTGGGGCCGCCTTGGAAAACAGACCTGAGTGGAAATTTCTTCAAGAAACCTCGAGGCTTGTCGAGGGGTGGACGGTTTCCTTCTCGGGTGGGCTCTCCTCCTAGCTACCCAGCCAGAGTGGAAGCCCCACTGGCCATAAGTTCTGCTTCCAAGAAGGGCTGGGCTGGTGGACTTCAAGGCCAGAGCTGAAACTAGCTGCTTCCAGTGGAGTTCGAACTGATGTGGTTTGCATTTATGTGGTGGTTATAACTGGTCTTGGAATTCGGTGAACTCTTGGAATTGTTCTGATGCTGGGGAGGTGGTGGGAGGGAGGGCGGGAAGGAGGGAGGGAGGGAGGGAGAGAGAGAGAGAGGGAGAGAGAGAGAGAGAGAGAGAGAGAGAGAGAGAGAGAGAGAGAGAATGTGAAAGAGAGTCAGTCCTTGATAAAGTCAAACCTGGGGCTGATGCATCCATGGGATTCTGGAAGTGGGGACAGTGGGCTCTGGGCTGCTCCAACCTGCAAAAGGCCCTCTTGCTTTGGGGCCTTTTGCATCCTCCCCTGCAGACCCAGGTCCACATGCCTAGGGTTTTATTTGGTGGCTGGGAAGAGACCTGGAATTAAGAGAACCCAAAGCAGGGAGGAAGGGCCCCTCCTATAGCACCTGTATGGTTAAGTCTGCAGGCCTGGAGTTATACTGCTTGGGGTGGAATCCTAAATCTGCCATTTCCTAGCTGAGTGGCCTTGTACAACTCATTAAACTCTTAGTTTCCTGGCCTGTAATACAGGATAAGAGCATCTTATGTACAGGGTTGTTGGGGGAATGAGACGAGGCAAAGGGTCTGGAACTTGCTTGGCCTGAAACAATTGTCAGCTTGGTATTACCCTGACACTGCCAGGGCATCCCTGTGGGCACCTGGGCCTCAGATTCCAGGGAGGAGAGGCAGAGGTGCCAGGGCATTTGCTTCACTGTGCCAGGGCACCTCACTCAGTCTTCATGCCTCTGGGAGGGGGTGTTTCTCTCCCAGAGAGGCTGGGAGAGGTTCCATAACTTGCTACTCAACCAAGAAGCATCAGGATGGATTTGAAGGTGAGTCTGTGAGACACCACAGAAAATTCTTTTTCTACAAATTAGGGAGGCTCTGGAGGCTAGGCCACGTGGTGAGGGGAGGCTCATTTCTGTCTAGAACTTCAGTTTCACCTGATAGAAGCATTTAAAAGTTCTATTTTATTATGTTTATATTATGCAAACACAAATATTATGATGTGAAGCTTACATGAAGCTTTTAGTTAAAACCACAGTCTTGGGGGCCGCAGTCTGTACTTTTTCTCCATCAGCCTGACATGCACTCTCTTGACTGTTATCCCCAGATCCTTCTTATGGGCTCACTGAATGTGTGAGTTCTTTAACCTTTCTCAGACTCAGTTTCCTTATCTGTGAAATGGGGTAGTGGCAGCCCAGGCTGGTAGCTCACACTTCGCTAGGATGCCTAAGGGCAGCAATGCGTCCCCTGTCCTTACACAGCCTGGCACACAGCAGGTGGAATGAATGAGTTGTTGAGTGAAGCCTGGGTGTGATGGCTATTAAATAGGAGACACCTTGGAAAGCATCCAGCCCAGGGCCTAATCCACAGCAGAGTCCATAAATGGTCTCCTTCATCCTTGCTCCCAGGCCAGGGGACCAGACCTCTTCTCCATCCTTCTGCAGGGAGGAGGAAGGGGAGGGACCAGATGAGGGGAGGCCCGCAGGCTCTAGGATAGGAATTCTCAGGCCCAGATTTCTTGAAGGCCAGGTCAAGAGGGGTGATACGATGACTGCCTTTGTGGTTGTGCATGTGTGGGGACCAGCATTCTCACACTCCCAGGCCCACAGGCCCTTCCCAGAGCTGTGTTTCTGTTTGCCATGAGGGAAGCCTTTTTGAAGGGGCAGTCTCCTCTGGTTGCCAGATGGAGGGGGCCATTTAAACAATGTGGTGCCCTGCCCTAGAAGCCATGGGGTTCTGCAGGGGTCACCCTCCAACACCAGTTCTCCTGTTCCTTTCTGAGTTAAGTCCTTATCTCCATTACTTGAGTCTTTACAGGGCCATGTAGATCAGTGGTTTTCAACCACAGAAGTGGGACAGGGGTCTCAGGGTTGAGGCCAAGCTCTCACCTGACGTCGGAAGAGCCTCTGGAGCAGTCCTTTCTTTGGCGGTTCTGGAGGCTGGCTTCTGTTCAGGTCTGGTGAGAGGGTACCGTTAGGTCCAAATACGTTCAGCTCCTTAAAGCATTCTGTTTCTATCATCTGGAGAGACAAGGCCATAACCTGGGTGGAGGGGGACTGGCGGGGCCTCCCGCCTTACCATCCTTGACCCATTGGGGCACAGCTTCTGCCTGCCCACGTACAGACTCCACCGTGAACAGAACCCTTCGGAGGTGCAACTTGCCGTCCTCCTCCAAACCCCATGACATTCTAATGGGCTCTAACTTCCCCAGCTCAATCCCGAGTGTCTCTGGCAGTCACTCACTTATCTCTGCCTTCCCAGCTGGACCTCTCAGGGAAGGAACTTCACTTCTTTGGCCTCCTGCTCTCTCTCGGCCTGCTCAGTGGCTTCTGAACTCACCCTGCACCCTGCCAGGCCCCAGCGAATTCCAGCCTCTTGGCCCAGTAGCTACTCTTTCATCCGTGTCCTACTTCCCTCTCAGAGCAAAGCCTGTCACCTGCCACAACCCACCTCATTTTGCCACGGAATGGACACAGAGCCTGTGGAGAACTTGGAGTAGAAGTCATCATCCGTATGGTCCAGGTTGACGCCTTTCACGGTGGAGAACTGCTCAATGTCCAGCACATCCTTACAGTACACGGCCCGGGGCTGGCAGAGACAGAGGCTTGCTCACACGGGGCCCAACCTTGGGGTTTTGATGGGAAGCAGAGGGGCATCTTCCCACTCCCTGAGCTCCCAAACCTGAGCTGCCCTCTCAGATCCACCAATGGGACCTCAGCTGGGATGAAACGCCAGCTGCCCTGACCAGGGTCCCTTCCTGCCCATGCTCCATCCCACACACATCACGGGTCACACCAAGGACTTGTTTGAGGTGGGCTGAGGGGGAGAGGGCAGCTGTCTCTAAGATCACACTCCCCAGCCTCTCTGGGCATCCCATGCCTCATCAGATATTCATGGTCACTCTGAGGCCCACAGCCTCCGGGAGGTGGCAACACTGCTAACGCCATTTCTGTTGACTGAGGGGTTGCACTGGCTGCAATGTAGGGCCTCTGGCCCACTCCTCCACAGACAGAATGAATGCTGGGGGTCCAGAGCTAGAGCATAGACACACGAGGGACTCTGCTTCAGGGGGCCATGATGCAGATGGAGGATGTTTTGGGGTACTTGGAGCAGTTCTGGAGGAATACGTCCCAGCCCATCTCACACAGAGGGCAGCGAAGGGTATGGTCTGACCCAGACAGCCAGGCAGACAGGCCTGGGCTGGATGGAATCCCACTTGTGGAGATTATGAGTTTGTTTCCTCACCTGAAAATGGGCATGATGGAAGCTCTGGGCACAGGGCAGACACTGGCCCTGTGCCCAGCGCTGTGAGTGTGACAGGTGGTAGAGCCTTACTTCACTCACCATCAAGTGTGAGCTGGGGGGTGCTTCTCTAAGCAGAAGGGAACCTGGCATGCCCTGCCCACCTGAAGGTCCAGGTGGTTGGGAAGGCTTCCTGGGGACTCTGGGAGCCTGGGGCTTTAGAGGTGACTCCAGGTTGGTGTCCAATCTGGTTTTGGGTTTGGGATCACCCAAGAGGCTCCAGTCCTGTCTGCTGGGGCCTCTACTCAAGGTGTAAGCAGGAGGGTTGAGGCCACAGAGTCCCCAGCAGAGCAAACCACTGGGCCGAAGTGAGTGTGGGCAGTGGAAGAAGTGGGGGTAGGGACTTCAGGTGCATAGCCATGACACCTCTATTCTCAAGAGCTGGTATGCACACCACTGTGGAACAGGGCAAGTGGCATCACACACTTCACTGCTGTCATTTGCCCAGTGCAAAGTGAAAATGCAGGATCCCATGCTCAAAAATTTAGAACTTCAAGATGACAACAGGGTCGTTGAGTCAAGGGGGTCAGATTGACAGTACACACCAAGCTTATGAGGCTGGCTCTAGGAGGCATGCAGCTGAACTTTTTTGGGGGGCAGGGGGGGACTGGGGTGAGCCCTTTTTGCTTTGGTTATTTTATTCTGTTTTTTTATGGGACAGAGGTTGTACTCAGAGCTTCGTGCTTGCAAAGCAGGCACTATACCTTTTGAGTCACACCTCCAGTTCATTTTTCCCTGCTTATTTTGGAGATGGGGTCTCTCGAACTATTTGGCTGGCTGGCCTCAAACAGCGATCTTCCCAATCTCAAGTCTCTGAAGTAGATGGGATTACAGGCGTGAGCCACTGGCACTGGGCTCAGTTGAACATTTTTGATCAGTCTCTGTTTTATTTTATTACTTTTTTGTAGGACTGGGGTTTGAACTCAGGGCCTTACACTTGCTAGGCAGGTGCTCTACCACGTGAGCCACTACCAGCCCTCAGTTGAACATTTATTTATTTTTTTTTTAAAAGGAGATTTTTTTTTTGTGATACTGGAGTTTGAACTCAGGGCCTCACACTTGCTAGGCAGGTTCTTTTTTTTCTTTTTTGGTGGTGCTGGGAGTTGAACTCAGGGCCTTGTGCATGCCAGGCAAGCACTCTACCACTGAGCTACATCTCCAGTCCCTTCAACATTTTTTAAAAAGGGCATTTAAAAAATCTGTAGTGGCACAGAAATTTATCTAACATGCCAAAAACCTACTACCTCATGGCTATTATTTCCTTGGAGAAATTTCCTTTTGGAGTGCATTGGTTTTGGTTTTGAAGAGTCAAGAGGAGGGAAAAAATTAAGCTAGTAATAGCATTGGCTGCAGCCTGAAGATGGTGTGGGGGAATGGGAAAAGAAAGGTAGAGAGCACACTAACCCAGTGGACAATGCCACCCCAGCTTGCAGGAACTTCATAGTCTGGGGTCTGCAACTTCTGCTCACCACCCATTCCACTCAAGGGCCTCAGCTGCCTAGAACAGGGGCCATAGGCCACATGGGCCAGATGGTACTGCAGAACTGGGGAGAGAACGTTGACCTGATGGGTGAGCTGATCTGTGTATAGTATGCTGAGAGGATCTACAACCTGGCAGGCAGAGTGACCAACCAAATGCCCAGGACACAGGATTTTCAGTGCTAAAGCCAGGGCAGTCCCAGGCAAACTGGGAATGGCTGGTTGCCCTGATGACCAGAGATGCTGCCTTCTGCATGCAGCCTCCACAGACTCTCCTCACAGCCCTGCCCAGCTAACCCTGCACAGAAGCCTCCACTGCCCCAGCTTCTCCTCCCAAGCTTCTTGTTCTTTTCTCACATGACTCCTAGTCCCATTTTTACTTAAGGGGTGTTTGCTGATACTCTCCTCTTCAGACTGAGAGTTCCATGAAGGAAACAACCATGGGTTGTTCACCATGGGTCCCCTGGGGGCCTGGCACAGAGCTTGGAGCATGCCAGGAGGTTGAGAAATCTGTCCTGTGTCATGAGTGACCTCATTCCATCACCATAGCGACGGGTAGCCCAGAGGCCCTGGGTTTGGTTCTGGCCCTCTGCTCCAACTCCAGCTTGGGTGTCCACCTCACCTACAATCTAGAACCACTGACCCAGAAACACAGGATGCTGCCCAGTGCCCATCCCCACAAGCCCTCAACATGAAGTAGGCAGAGGGAAGGAAGGGGCAGTGGGCACTCCGGTCCCCAAGAGAACTGTAGCGTGCTTCATGCTCTGCATTAGCTGACTTGGAGGTACAAGGTGAGACAATGGCCTGCTGGCCAAGGTGACTGGGGCGGGGGAGGCTACTCACATCTGGAACAAAGGGAGGGTCCAACATCCCAGCCTCTAGGCGCTTGAAGTTCATGTTCCTGAAGAAGGGGTGCCTCTTCACCTCGGCAGCCCCCTCCTCCTGGCAGCCCAGCCTCTGCTTTGCATCTTTGGTGAGCAGCTATGACAAGAGAGTCCCTTGAGGCCATGCTTTTGGAACATCTGTGGTCACTGCCCTTCCCACCTGTGTCCCTGAGCCCTCCCAGGTGTTCCTCCTCTAGCCTCCATAGTGTCACCTCTGGGAGTTCAGTCTGGAGGGGGGCTACCCCCTCACAACAGAAGAACCAAAGGTGGCATCAGGGCAGGTGCCAGGTCATACGCTTGCAGGGACTGATGTGTGCACTCAATCATTGGTGATGCCACCCTATGGTCCACTGACTATCAAGACAGTGGCTCAGGTTTGTACCCACACCTCAGCCTTTTTTCCAGATGGAAGGAATTGGACTCTGCTCTGTTTCAAGAAATGCCAAGAAGCAAGGCTCCCTGTGCAGGCACTAGACCTGTTGTGTAGCCCTCAGAGCCTGCAGCGCTGGCCAAGACAGGCAGCATCAACAGGGGAGGTACAGGTGAGGAGTGGGCAGAAGCAGGGAGGGAGTACTCATCAGTAGGCAGGCAGAAGTGTCAGCCAGGTCCAGGTTTCTGCACTCTTCAAGAGATGCCAGAAAATCAGGTTTTTATGTGAAATCTCATTTTAAAATCTTGGTAATTAACTCACCATTCACTTCTTTCTAAAACACTCCATACAGGCTAAACAAAACACCCACCTACACACTGCAAGTTTGCAACTTTGATATCAGATGTTCATCAGAGTGTGTGTGTGTGGGGAGGTGTATGTTGGAGGAGGCAGGTGGAGTGGCTTCCTGGAGGTGCAGGACTACAGGTGGGCTGGAAGGATAGGTAAGATCTGGACAGCTGGAAGGCCAAAGGGAGGATAGGAAAGTTTGGTACTGAGACTCAGCAGGGTCAAGGAAGGAGGAAGCTGAGGTCTGGGTTTTGGGACTGGACCCAGTGGGCAGGGCTGTCAACTCCCATGGCTGCCAAGATGGAATTGGGATAGACCTGAGACTGGTTTCCTTGCTTTTGGATTTGGGTTGCAGTTTTATTATCTGGGAGGCCAAGCCAGGCCAGGAACAGCCCTGTGAGTCCTGGGCCTCCATAGTCTTCCTACAGGTCAAGCCCTGTGATAGCCACAGGGTGGGCTGGGCGGTTAAACCTGAAAGACTGTAGATAAAGTGAGGAGGAGGAGGCCCAAGACCAGAATCCTAAGACCCCGGGGTCATTTGTAAGGGAAGATGGAGCAAGGCCTGGGGCCTTTGGACAGGCACAGTGATTTGACACTGCATCCACAGGCCAGGCTCACAAGAGCAGCAGGCTCTGCCACCGCCTTTCCCTCAGTGGCCACAAGAGGGCAGCAAAGGGGCAGCAGTGTCCCTGGTTGCTGCTGGTAATCCCAGTCAAAGCCTGGTGGTAAAGTGGATGTTTGGGGCACACGGGATGGAAGTAAAGGTCCTCTCTGCTTCCTTATTCTCTCAGCATACCCTATGTCCCTGCTGAGGTCTCTCAACACCTGCTTCTTGGAATTCCTGACCTGGGACATTCAGTGATGTTTTGACCATGGCTGTCCTCTTCTATGTCCATCTGATCATGTTGTGTAGACAGCTTGCCATGGCATAACCAAGAATTTTCTGGCACCTGTATTTCCATTTCCCTGCTGCCTTGTTCCTCCTGTCTCCACTCTGATTGGCTGAGATGAATGACTATTGGATCTCTTTGGGGCCCCAGCTGCATGTCTGGCCAATAGCTCTAGGGTTGGGTGTGGTTACACCTCATGTACTGTCCCTCAGTGTCTCTGTCATGTCAGTGACAGATTTACAGTTTCTCTTCTTTTGGATGAGGTTGGATGGCAGATCAGCCCCAAATCCTTCTTTCCATAGCTCTATGACATGGGAATGAGGCTGGTAATAGGAAGTGGCTGAGCAGAGAGAGGTTGGTGGTTGTAAGAGAGGAGCCTCTTGTTCTGTAGTGCCTGGGTCAGTAAAGTGCAGCCTGGGGGCTCTGGAAGTGAAAGCTTAGCTGCTTTTCCTCAGCTCTGTGGCTGCTCCTCTCTAAACTCCAGGCTGAGCTGCTACTGCCTATACTGAGGCTGCCTTAAGGCCACAGCAAACACAAAGGTGAGACTCAGAGGGCCCCTCCTGAGGCTAGGTCCACCCATTTGCTACTCCAGGTGTAAAGGGGCTCCAGGGAGAGGAAGTCTTTGGGTTCTCAGGTGTGCAGAGCTGCATGCTCAGGCTCTCTCTGTTCTTCTGTGGCCAGAATCAGAGGGCAGCTGCCTGTGGCAGGGACTTGGAAGCCTGAGAGCCAGGCAGGAACAGGAGTGGCCATCTCCTCACAAAGCAAGAGGAAGGGCCCAAAGGTCAGCCCTGGAGTGGGGCCTACCTGGACTGAGGGAAGAGGCAGTGGTCAAGGGTGGACCTTTTGATTGGAGGGCTGTACCATCCAACACTTTTGATGGCCTGTCACTCCTTCATCTCTCTGGCCCTGCCCACATGGCCTGTCTAAATGTTACTATTACGTGTGTTCTGCCCACAGTTGGGTCAGATTTCACTGCCCATAGATACTGCCACACAGAACCTGAGCTGGTGTGACCACCACTCCAGTAGTGGATGGAAACTGGTTTTAAGATGTTCAAAAAGGTTGGGGTGGGCTCAAGTGGTAAAACACCTGCCTAGCAAGCCTGAGGCCAGTGCCTTAGGGTCCAGAGCTAGAGGGCGCAGGAGGCCCAAGGGCAAGGGCAAGGGCTTGTCTCAAGGTCCCTTTGTATCTTGTGCACCAGCTCAGGACATCATTCGCTGCCCTCTGTTGACTTCCACACAAAGCTGGATGTGAGGGTGTCTTACTGTTCACTCAGTCCCCCTTCCCTTGGTACCCTGCTCCTAGCCCCAGGCCTTGCCAACCATCCCACTCCACAACAAGGAGCATTGGCAACTCTGATATGCCCTGGCTCTACCCCTTTAACCTGTTTGGGGTTCTGGGGAAGGCTGGAGGTTGGCAGGGGGCCACAACTGGGCAGCAGCCTAGGGTAGTGCCTGGCTCACCAGGAACTCACCATCTTGCAGATGGACTTGGCCTCCTCAGAGAATTTGGGGGAGTACAACTCCTCAGACTCCAGGACCCGGCGGTCCACCTCCTCCCGCTTCACCTTCTCCTTGCGGCCGCGGAACGGTGACTGGCCCTCAATCATCTCATAGATGAGGCAGCCCAGGCCCCAGTAGTCAGGGCCCAGGCCATATCGTTGGTTGTTCAGGACCTCTGGAGCTGGGTATGGAAGGAAGACAAGAAGGGTGAGAGCCAGCTGGCAGCCAGGATGGTGGTAGGCACGTGGGCAAACATGACTCCTCCTCACAACTGGGCCTCGGCCTCCAGTCCCAAGAGTGATGGTGTTGCTCATTCTAGAAGGCCTAGAATTTCCTCCTGGGACAAACTGCACTCCCAATTGCTACCCGCCAGTTACTGTAAACATCACTCTCCTCCAGGATGCCTGCCTTGATGGCGCTTTTCTGTGCCTTTGAGAAGGGCACTGACTGGCTTCAGCATTGCGACCAGAATGAATGGAACCGCCCTGCTCCCTTCATGTCTCCCCAACTACAACACGTACTGCCTTTTTCACTGCTGTGTCCCCAGTGCAGCTGTGACACATAGACACTGGGTAGGTGTTTGCACATTATTGTTTCATTGAATAATGGTGTGTCCACTTGAATGAAAGTTATATTAAATCCTCTCACTATGTCTTTCCTACCACTTTGACAAAATTATAGATTCACCATGAAGCACAAAAAAGACAGTCACATGTCATCAGGCTAGTTAAAGGCAAATGCACGCACACAGTGTACACATAACAGAAGCTGTGCAGACAAAGCTTGCAGCCCTGTGTGCAAAAGGAAAGCGAAGCAAATGTACAACAGACATCCAGGCAGGTATGCAGACAGACACATCTATCACCCATCCATCATCCATCCATCTATCTATCAGTATTCACGTGGACACCTCCCCACCCCAGGTCACCAAATGCCATGCATCAGAAAAAGACCCTCCAGCACCAGTGACAGAACACTGACTCCCACACGTCTGCTGTGGGCATGGACCTGGGCAGAGGGCCACAAGGTGCCTGGCCCAGAGCTTTCTGATTCCCAGGGAATGGGGCACATATGCAGGGTGTGCAGGAGGAAGCCCAGGGAGGGGTGCTCCCAATTGGAGGGGGGATCCTAGGGACCTGGATTTGAAACCAATCCTTCCCTGCAGCCCCTTGGAGGATGGTGTTAGAGTGACTAAGGGGAGGTTGGCTGGTCCCATCTTAGAATCATGCTTGGTGACACAGAAGACTCCTATCATTTTGGAGCCTTTGCCAGAGACCCCCTCCTCTCAGGGATCTCCCATAAGGGCTGTCTGCCCATTACTCTGTCCCACCCAATCCTACTTCAGTGAGGCCTCCTCCAGCAGTGCTGAGTGCCAGGCTCTGGCTGCTGACCCTGAGTGGCTTGGCTTTGAAACAAAGGTGAGTTGGGCCAGGGGCAGCAGAGAGATCAGCATAGTCAGGTCACACCATAGGTCCCAGTGCATCACCCCACTTGGCTAAGGAGCCAACTCAAGGAGCTCTGTGGGAAACCAGTTGTGCACAAAGAGCCTGAGGAGCTCTTGGGGGATGCTTGGGAAGGCTCAGCGTGTGATGGATGCAGGACTACACTTACCCATGTAGCCGACGGTGCCCACCCGGCCGCGGATCAGGTCTCCCTCAGGGATCTTTACGGCCAGCCCCAGGTCTGAGATTCTGATGTGGCCTATGGGGGACAGCAGGGTTAGAAGACCCCTACAACAGCTATGGTGACACAGACTGGCAAGGGCCACAGACTGGCAAGACATGAGCTCTCAGCGTTACCATCTGTTTAATAAAGATGTGACCCTAATCTGCCCTCTCAGGGTGACCATAGAACACTGGGAGCATCGAGGTGGGACCCCATGTGGGTAAATGACACATTTTAGGAGTAGCATAAAGGTGACAAAGGATGCCTGGATCCAGCTGGACAATGCCGGCCTGCCCCAAGAAAGGCACTAATGAGCTTCCTGGAAGGCTGAGGTCACGGAGTTGAAGACGTCCTGGCCTGATTCTGGGATTGCTTCACAGGAAAAATATGAGATTCCCCTGACATTTTGCAACAATTTGCTTAAGGGGAAAAAACTGTAAAGCAATTTGGGAAGCCACTCCCTGCCTTGTTGGTCTTTGGAGGTGGTTTGTTTTTTCCCTTTGGAGAAATGAGAAGGGCAAATGTCTGGCCCAGCTTGGTGGAACACGGAGGTAGAATGAGCTCAGTGTCCAGGGCTGGCCCCAAAGGCTCAGGCAGCACTGGCTGAGAGCGCCACCTCTGTCTTTGTCTGGTCCACTATGCAGGGTCATGGCTATATCTTGCCCTGTAGGAAGGACATGTCCCCTCCTGTTCCCTGCCTGTGGGTACCAGGAATCCCTCAAGCCTAGACCACCACAGGCCTAGTCCAGAGACCCCCACCAGGCCAGAGGTACACAATTTCCACAGCTCTGTGGTGCCTGGCATCAGGAAAGGGGCAGAGGGCATGTGGGTGACAGAAGCAGGCGCGGGACCTTGGCACAGCGCTGAGACTGCGGTGTGGTCTGAGCCCATCAGAGAGGGGCAGCAGACCCTGAGCACCCTGCTCTTCCACAGGCAGCAACCCCCTCAAGACTGATCTCCAGGCTGCTGAGGCCTGGCCCCCTCTTGCCCTTCCTTTTATTGGGGGCTGATGAAGTCTAGGGTATCTAAGAGTCCTGGTTTCTGCTCTCAGCTCCCCACTCTGATCACCAGGTAATCTTGGCAGGCAGGTTCCTTGGAGCCTCGGTCTTGTCATCTGTGAGATGGGCACCTGGAATACACCCTGTCCTCTCTGTGGAGACTGGGAAGATCTAGTCAGGTAGAAGGTGTAAAATCTATTTCAGGTGAGAGGCTAAACTGTTGTGAATTCCTGAAGTTGCTCTTGCTCACACCCAAGAGAAAATAATGATGGTAACATGCAAATGACGATGTCTGACATTGTCACAGCTGGCTGGAGTTGACAAACTCCCCTCAGGCCATCGTGTGCAGCCTCACCACATTGAATTCCCTCTTGCAGGCAGGGTTCACCACTTCGCACACAGGACGAGGGGCAGGGATGTGCAGACAAAGTTTCTGAACTGCCAGGCTCCTCAGTGAGCCATCTCTGTCTTGCATCCCAGCAGATTCACACTGCTTCTTCACCAAGCAGGAGCTTCATTCCACAACCTGCTCCAGGGCCCGGGAGTGAGGAGTGGAGTGGGGTCCTCTGCCCCATGAGCCCCTGTGCTCCTGTGGTCCCAGGGCCAGCCTCTCCATGCCTGCAGAGTCCCTTTGCTCTGAGTGGCTCATGATGCTTAGCTCGGCTTCATCACTGAAAGGCTTTGAACCGCTCCCTGACTTACCATAATCATCCAACAGGATGTTTTCAGGTTTCAGATCTCTGCAAGAGAAGGACGACAGCATCTGAGTGTGGCCATTCTGGACAGTAAGGACACATGGCATTTGGGTTGACCCCACTTCTGGGCCCAGGCCATCTGGTGTCTAGATCAAGACCATCTTGAGCTCATCTCTCTCCTTCCAGTAATTTAAAACAAACACTGCTGTTTGCCATCTGCATTTCTCCCACCCTAGAATGGCCAGCCCTGGCACCTGTCCCCATGCCTGTGGTGATAGACACCCTTGAGGGCTGCCGGTTAAGGGAAGGAAAGAAGAGAAGTAATTGAGCCCGGTGTACCATCATAGAATCCAAAGAGAAGGCTGTGGAGAGGATGATCCCAGGGAAAAAGATCCTTGTGGAACACCAGGAGGCTGGCACATCCCCCAGTCCTGCTACCCCACAGCTGGGAGGAAGTATAGTCAGAAGGCATAGCCAGGTGTGGCTACCTCATCCCTCCTGCAGTGTCCCCTCTGTTTGATGACAGGACTTTGCTTGTAACAAGGGGAACCTTGTTCTGCCTTGCCAGAATGGAGGGCAGGCAGCAGAAGGGCCTGCTTTCCTAGTGAAAGGTCTTCTCTTCTCAGAGGGGGGTGTGCGTAGCTCAGTAACACTACAGAGCAAACGAAACAGCATCTGGATGGAGGCTCCAGTTCCCACGACTTCATTTAACTGGTGGCAGCTGTCCTCATGGGGAGTGGCTCACATACCCGGGCCTGCACAGTCTCACAAAGTGATGACTGGAGCTGGTACCTACTCACTTATTGAAAACTACTTTTGTTGCTGTTGTTATTTATGAGGCGTTCTTTTGATGTGTTAACAATTCCAAATAAGGGCAAGAGCCATTATCTCAAATAAACCAGCTGCCACTGCGTCCGAATGACAGCTTACTAGGAGCTGCTGACCAGAACCGAACTCATAGAGAGGCTAGAGCAGGTGGTCAGAGTGGGGAGGAGGCACCCTGGTCCCCTGCCTCTCTAGAGGAAGGGGAGCTGGGACTCAGGGGCTTTCTTTTTCCTTTTTAATGGAAAGGCAATCAAGTGGGGCATTCTTTTCAATCCTTAGGGAAAATGTTCTGACTCTCTTTTCACTTGAATGAAAACAAAACAAAAACAAAGGCAGGAGACAGCACAGAGGGGAGCCAGAGATAATCTCTGCCCAGAGCTCCAGGCATAGGTCTTCAAACCAGGCCATGTGGGTGCCCAGGAGCCTGTGGGACTGTTGGGGTCCGGCATGTTGGCAATTTCAGGGCTGTGGGTTTCTTTCTTTTTCTTTTTTTCATGTTTGAGCCTGAAGCCTCATGCTTGTTAGGCAGGCGCTCTAACACTTGAGCCATGACCCCAGACTATTTTGCTGTAGTTGTTTTTTTGAATAGGGTTTTTTTTTTTGGTTTGGGCTGGCCTGGATCACAATCCTCCTATTTACACTTCTCTAATAGCAGAGATGACAGACTCCTACCACCGTGCCCAGCTTGTTGGTTGAGATGGGGTCTCCCTAGCTTTTTGCCTGGGACAGGTAGCACCTTGAAGGAGCAGTCAGTTTGAGGAACATTACTTCATGTGTCTAGCTTCCCTAAGATTTGGAACCAGAAGACACTAGCTGGAGACTGGCCCATCTAACTTACTGGGTTCAGGGAGCCCTTGGCTCTGGGGTGGGAGGAGTCAGTCTGGCTCCTGCACTCTCACCTCATGCTTGTGCAGGTTTGGGTTTGAGGAGGAGTTGGGGGAGAGGGGACAGCCCCATCCATCCTGACTCTAGAAGTGCCCCTCACCTATAGACGGTATTCTCACGGTGCAGGTCTTCCAAGCCACAGAGGATCTCTGCAGCATAAAACAAGGCTCGCTCCTCCTCGAAGCCAGGGTTCCCCATGTTGTAGATGTGGAACTTCAGGTCGCCCCCATTCATGATGGTCAGGACAAGGCACAGCGCATCTTTTGTCTCGTAGGCATAGGCCAGGTTGACCTGGGAATGCAAGAGTAGTGCTGTGGTTGGTCATGGTGACTGCCACCTACTTCTGCTTCCCTTCTCAGGATCCTTGAAGCTGCAGAGGGGGTGGTGGGAGGGACAGAGCAGCCTCACACTGCTTCGCTGCACCCAGACAGCTCAGTGACCCTGCTGGTTTCCCCTCTGGGCTAATGAAGGACTCATACTCAGTTCCTTCCAACAACTAGCTGGAAGTGAGGGGGCAAGGAGGGCAGAAGCAGGTAGTTCCTTGACTTTCTGAGATTCCTACCAGGTGGTATCTGTGCTTTCACAGAGCATGTGCAGGCATCAGTTGGAGAAAACTAGACACTGCCTCATTGGTTAGTCAGAAAAGCAGGGCATGGCTGCCCTTCAGAGACTCAGGGGTGCGTGGGCTCGGAGGTGACCAGTGGGACTTTGGGAAGTGGATACAGCCTGGCCAAGACTTTCATTTGCATTCAGGACATGCAGGGGACCACCAATGGAGGTGGATCTGGCCACTTGCTGGTGGATTCCAGACACCCAACATGCCGTAGATTGAGGCCATGGGGTACCAGGAGAGGCAGGCAGTGCCGGGCTGAGGCAAATTCCTCTGAGTGGTGTTCTTTCTCCATTTAGGAAGTTTGCACAAATGAAATCTGACTCCCAGACCAGGGACAAGGACCAGAGAACTTAGTTGTAAACATCAGGAGCAACAATAGTTATTTCCAAGGAGACAAAATGGCAGCTGGGGGTGAATGAGCTCATAGGGATTGTGTTTCTTCCATCTACTGCTTTTCTTTCTCCCATACCTACTCAGGGCATCCCAAGGAAGGACTCCAGAAGGTGTACCTGAAATGTCACCTGAAAGTCCATGTATTAAAAGATTGATCCTCAGGGTAGTGCTACTCAGAGGTGGTGGGTCTTTTAGGAAGAAGGAGGCCCTGAGGCTAGTGGGCTTGTGCTCTTGAAGGGGATTGTGGGAATTTACCCCTTCCTATCTCTCTGTTTTGCTTCCTGGCTCACAATGTAAGTGCTTTTGCTTTGCCATGTACTCCCACCATGATGTGCCACCCTTGGGACAGACCCAAAGCAATGGCACCACCTAAGCTTGGACTGGAATCTCCAGAACTGTGAGCCAAAATAAACACATTCTGTTTATAAGTTAAGTGCCTCAGATACTTCTCTATAGTAATGGAAAGCTGACTAATCCAACTTGTCACTGCACGAACTCCTGCTAGAGGCAGGAGATGGGGCACAGTCAAGGAAAGTCCAGTCATCGAACCCAATGGCCCTTGAAGGAGTGCCAGTCCAGGTTCGTCAGGCATGAAATCCTTTTCCTTGAGTAGGACCTACTAGCACTGCCCCTTATAGATGAGGGCGCCACAGGTAATAATTGAGACGGCAATCAGTGGTCATAGTAGGCCTTGGCCAAAACTGGCTAGTATTACCCTCATCTACCTCCTCCTGCAAGGTACTATCACACTATCCACCCCTCCCTTAGACAAGACCAGATTCTGGGAAAGCCTGGGATGAGATCTAGAAGCTCTGTCCCCTTCGAGTGTCCTTTTATAAAATCACCCTCCTCTGGGGATGACCAAAGCATTAGGTTGATGGTGGCTTGTCTCCTCTCTCACACAGTTGGTGGGAGTTCAATTGGGGCAAACTTGGTGGGCAGTTATTTGGGAACAGTGATCAGATAAAAAATGCACAAGCTCTCTGCTACAGAAATTCCTCTACCACAAATAAATCCTATGAATACATCCACAGAAATACACCAGGGAATGTTCAAAGGTGGGCATTCGGCATGGTTTGTAATGGTTTAAAAACAAGAAACAAGGATTGGCTATAAAGAATATGGTTTACCTCTTCAGAGAAAAGATGTATAGCTTTCAAAAATGGAGTACAGATATAGGTCTGGACAGAAAAGATGATGAATAATTTCAGGGGAAAACATTGCAGCATAAGATGTATAGGATAATCTATTGGCTAAAAATAATAAAGCCTATATATGAATAAAGTGTCTGGGTGGTTACTCAAAGAGGGAGGCATTTATTTTTATTTTTATTGTGTACCTTTCTGTGGTGTCTGAAGATTTACCTTGGGGATATACAGTTTTTGTGGTAACACAGGGCATTTAGAGCTGACCAAATACCCATGTATTCCTTGACACTTTCCAGCCTCCCATCAGCTAGCTTGTTCCTCAAGGTCAAGGACCTATGGCTAATGGACTGTGGGTGGAAGTATGGAATGTTGGTTCAGCTGAGATGGTAAAAAGTCCTTATCTGTGGAGACTCCCCAACATCCTCTTCAGGCTGTAGATGGAGGAGGGTGGCTTAATCTGACTGGACTTGATGTGAACGACAGATAAACTTTTGTTGTATGCAGTGACATAGAGTCAGGGCTAATTTGTTGATGGAGCAGAGCCTAGCTAGGCTGAGGAACAGGATACACAAACAAAAGGGCGGTTTTCTTGGATGTTCCGCCATGATGTTTCCATCAGAATGAAGGCAGTCTAGAGGGTCTGTGGAAACCAGAGCTCTTCAGATGGGTCTTGAGTAGACTTGCTTTGTTCACTGAGCACCCTACAAGGTGGTCCTGGAGAATAGAGACCTCAGGTTTACACACGGAGGGGACCAGGCACCAGCCAGCTCTGGTGACAGAATAAAGTTGGCTACAATGGACCTGGAGCTGCCTTGTGATGGAGGAAGGTCTGGCTATCTTTCTGTAGTTTGTCCCTCTCACTGGCACTACACTTCTCTGGCCATATTGTCGGACCACTCCTTGTAGAGAAGGGAAGTCCTGGTCACCAAAGTGTTGGCCTATCAATGGCCCTAGACACTCACCACAAACTGGCTGTTGACCTTCTCAAGGATCTGCTTCTCGTTGAGCGCCATGGACTCCCCTTTCCGCTTTTTGATCCTCTTCTTCTCCAAGCGCTTGCAGGCATACATTTTACCCGTGGCCCGAACCTGGCAGGCACAAACCTGAAGTGCAAGAAAGATACCAAGGTCACAGAGCACCATGATGGTTTGTCCAAACCCCTCCAAGGCCAGGATGCCAGGTCTCTAGGGCTGGAACTAATGGGCCCAGAGACAGTGGGCATGGTCTATGGGTGCCGTGGCTCACAGGACCCATGACACCTGGTGCTGCACCACTGCTGGCCATGTCCTCATGGGCTGGCTTTAGGGCCATTTTTCTTTCATTCCTCCTGGTCCCAAAGGTGCAGAAACAGCCATTCACAGAGGTTAGGTGATGGCAGAGACTTCAAGTGCTGTTCCCCTCTCTGTGACAACTGAATTTTTACCTGTCAGACACTGGGTGGAGAGGTTTGTTTTGCGGGACAGTAAAGGGAGACTTACAAGAACCCTAACTTCATAATTCAGAGGAATAGGAACAGGGTGTTTGGGCTGTAGTCCTTGTTCTGCTCCTTATTGGCTGTATGAACTTGACTGGACCATTCAGACCTTCTGAACCTCACTTTCCTCATCTCTAAAATGACAGCAGCGAAGCTGGCCTCATATGTTAGGAAGATCAGATGGTGTTCAATGAATCTCTATTCCCATGTAACCCTGAATACTAATGGCATCACCTAGATGGTAACTGGTCACTGGTCAAGATCATTCAGCTCCCTCTTGCCCTCACTTCTCCCTCCTCAGATACAACCCAGAGAACTTTTCTCTCCCCTGGAGGCAGGCTGGAAAGGGGCTCCACCTCACCTGTCTGTGCCAGGCAGCCTCCTTCCCACCTCACACATCTTACAGCACCCCAAGGCTTAGGCCCCTTGCCCTCCCTCTTTGCCACCTAGGGGCCCACACAGAACTGCGACTTCCCTTGGGAAACCAGGCTTGGAGGACACCTCAGGCCAATCCAGGAGGGACAAGAAAGGGAAGCAGAGCCTGGGAACTTCCAGTAGAGAACCTGGATGGCCACTCACCTCCCCAAAGCCCCCTTTTCCAAGCACTCGATACTGCCGGAAAGTGTTTTTGGTCACTGGTTGCCTGTTGAAAAAGTAAGAATCAGACATTGGTCTCCGAGTGAAGATTCAGGATCCACAAGAAATAGACAAGGGTCCTGTTGAAGGCTGCTGACGAGGCACACTTCCTGGGGAACCTATGGGAATCACTGCTGTGACTGGGCCTTTGAAGACTTCTTCTGGGGCTAGTGTACAAATCCTGGGCCACTGGCCCTGAGCCCTGGAGACTGGGAGATATGCAGCCTGACTTGCAGAGGGCAGGGCGGCAGGCTGGGAAGACAAGCTGAGAGTATTCAACTTCACCCTACTGGGTGAGGGCTTCCCCAGTAGAAGCTCAAACAAAACCTGGACAGCCCAGAAAGCTGTGTCTCTGCACAGGGACAGGGGAGGGAGCAGGCCGGGAGTCACTAAGGAGACCACAGCCTCACCTGCAGAGCTTGGCTTGCCCAGCAAAGGGACTGCACTTCCTGTCCCAGGTACCCACAAGTGCTCTTGCAACCCAGAGAAGACCCCGCCTCCTAGGGGCAAAGGCTGCTGGCTGCAGGTCTAGACTGGGGAGCTTTTGACCATCAGTTCCCAACCTTTCCATCACTGGGGACCCCTTTATTATATTTCCCCCATCAATCCAGGACATTAGAAGATCCTGAATGTCCAAAGCAGTATTTATGAATTAATCATTACTTTGGGTCTCCTGACTCTCCATTTTAATTAGCCAAAGCCACTTGTTATGTCCAATCAGACAGGACTTCTGATCATGAGGCAAGGATGGTACTTCCTGGAGTTAACAAATAAACAGTCCTCCAGTTGCAGCCAAGGACTTAACAGTGCACAGGGCTTGTTTTCTATTCCTGGCCTGGTTGGCTACAAATGGCCAGCTTAAAATGTTAAAATTGACTGTTGGAGCTCCAGGGCTATTTTAAAGCTCCCCTCCCCCCAGAGCAGGGGTTGGAAGAGACTGAATTGGGCTAAAGAGGTGGGTCAGCTTGAGAAGGGCCAGTGAGGCACCAGCTGCCCAGCAGCTCTCAGGAAAATGTTCCCTCCATGGAGATCCTTCCCACTGCTGGGGCCTTAAGGGTTTGGCTCTCACTGGGAATCACATCTTCTGTGGCTGCTGTGTCAGGACAGCCCTGAAAACCCAGGGTCTCCAATTCATATGTCGTGACTCACTTCTCTGCTGGTGTTTCTGCATGTGGGAAGGGGCCCAGTCCCTGTAGGAAGCACACAGTTGCCCCTCTGCAGGACTGTCCACTGCTCTGCTTCCACCTTGTGCACAAGAGCAGCCCTGGCAGCCTAGAGCAAACCTGTAATGCGCAGCGTCCACCACTCGGCCTTGGGAGCCTTTCCTATTGCCGCTCTTGAAACCACATGAAGGAGGCCCAGGCCTAACAGTTTACGATCACAGCGAACAAACAGTTGGTCGACATTACCGCAGAACTCCTCTGCTAGGGGGAAATGAGTGTAATACAATTTCCAAGGAATTTCTTGGTTAACCTTGGAAGGGAAAAAAAAATCCCTTTAATATTTCAACAGTACAGCACGGTCTTGTTTGGAAAAAAAAAAAAAAAAGAAAAAAGAAAAAGCAAGGCAGGGTGCTTACCAATCAATTAGAGCATCCCTAGGCCAGGGCCCTGCACTACTGGGTCTAAAAAATAAAGCTTCCAAAAGGGAACTTTTTTCCAGTCAATATTCAGATTAAAAATGTCCATTTCTTGTGCTTGAAACAGGTAAGTAAAATGAAAGCCAAGGTCAAAATTCCATCAGAATTAGAATGCTAGGTGGACTAAAGACCAAGGGCTTGAGTGAGGGACATAGACTATAGGTTCCAGGCTTGTCAGGTCTTTGCTGTGTGTCCCAGGGCCAACCTATCAGCCTCTCTGAGACTTACATATTCAGTAAAGTGGAAATGATGAGAATGCATATGCATCTATCTCAGTGTTCCTTTAAGCTGCTGTGTGTCAGATGTCATTATTTAAACTCCTTGGAATAAAGGATGCGACCCCTCTGGGGGTCTCCATGGTAACAACTGTTCTGCTAGAAGTACTCTGTACATACACTTATGTCATCCTCACTCTGGCTTCAGGAGGTGGGACTATCACGGTCTCCATTCTGCTGATGGAAACACTTAGGCTTCAAGAAGGGGAGAGGGTTGCCCATGGCCCTGCCTGGTAACTGGTGGGACTAGAACTGGGGTCTAGGTAGCTTTGCTGCAGAGCCCTGGTCTTGTGTTCTGACCCCTCTCAGCCATCCTGGGTGAGAAGGTGAAGATCAGGGTCCTGTGTTATATAGCCTGGGACTCCACAGCCTGTGCTGTGACCCTCAGCCCCAGGAGTAGACATGCAGCAAGTTAGCAGCTTCCCTCAGCCCTGGACATGGAGAGTGGAGGATGCTGATGGTCCCCAGCACTGCTCAGCATTGACCTCCTGCAGCCAAATAGCTGACTGTCAAATGTGTGCCTTGCCCAGCATTAGCTGTGCTGATCTCACCCTCTCCCCACGCCTACAAGGCGGACACTGTTGACTCCATTTTACCACTAAAGGAAGTGAGGTGTGGCAGGGTGAGCTACCTCTACAAAAAACCCTCCTCGGCAGGCTGTCTGGGCCAAACTTCACTTCTCCAGCCTTCCTGAGCTGTGACATGCCATGCAGGACAGTCAGTGGTGGGCATCAGGGCAACAGAGAAAGCCAGCCTCTGGTTACTCTATCATCTCCACTGGTCAGGGTAGAGAGAAACAGCCCATCCAGCAGCTGTAAGCAGGGTGCTTTCCTGCTGAGCCTCCTGAAGTGGGCAGAGCAGGACTGCTTTAAGGGGGTTCCTGGCCCACAGCTCCTATGTAACCTGCAGAGGGTCTGACCACAGTGGTGCTGGCACACATGCAGGCTTCTGGAGTAGGATGTCTCCTTAAGCATGAAGAATCTGGATGGCTATGAGTATCAGGACTATGGGGATAAGGACCTCTGGGCTGGGGAAGGAGATGCTCCACACTTGGGTACCAGCTTAGCCCAGGATGGAGTTAAGGCAGGCATCGCCCTGCACTGCAAGACCTGGAATGCAGAGCACTGCTCTGGGGGTCCTGCTCTGAGCCAGGGTCCCCCTGGGCTATATTACTGGCTTGCTGGGGGAGAAGGCAGGTCATGTTCCTCCATGTCCTTGCATTCTCATCAGTCACAAGGAGGCCATATCCATCCAAGTGACAGCCATGTTTGTGAGAGTACTTTGAAGAGAATGAGGCAGTAAATGAGCCATGAATGGATGCCTGGTCTCACTCATTACTAGAGACACAAAAATAAACAATAAGGAAAAGCCCACTGCTCATACATGGGGAAGAAAACAATTGAACAATGTTGAGGAAGATGGAAAAGCAGGGGCTTGGTGCTGGTGGGGCTGGAAAATTGGGAGTGGCTGTTTTGGTGGGAGATTTAATAATCCCTGAGAGTTTAGAATCAAGTGCCTTATTGGATGTACTTGCAAAAGTACATAAAGATTTATGCATATAGCCACTCACTACTCAGGGAAGGTTACATTAAAAAATGAGAAAAGGGGCTGGAAGTGTAGCTCAATGGTAGAACATGTACTTAGTAGGGTGTGATCCTAGGCACAGAAAAAAAAAATAATTGAGAGCAGCCTCAATGTCTGTTAAGAGGGCACTGGGTTAAACAAAGGATGTGTGACTATTTGAAAGACTATAGCAATTCTAATTTACTAACAAAGAATGAATTCCCAAAGACAGTGAACCAAAGAAGGAGGAGATGCTGTGTGTGTGTGTATGTGTGTGTGTGTGTGTGTGTACACGCATGTGTAGCCACGTGCATGACTGTGCATTCATTCGCTCTAATGAGGACAGAGCAGTTCTAGAATACCTAGGAAAATCATAAGTAGAAGGAGGATGGTTCATTTTATTGTAAGCATGGGTCAGAGGGAGGTGACTGATTTTTGTATGAGTCCTCAGATGAGCCCCTGCATGCTCTTCTCCCACCTGCACACTCTCATGCATGAGGTGTGGACTGCTCACCTTTCCAGCCACTTCCACTGCAGAAAGCGGTCAAAATACATGCTGTCCAGGTATTCATGGAATGGTTCTCCCCTCAGGTAGTCATGGACAGACCTACTCAGAGGGACAGAAGGAGGAGTATGTTATAATCCCAATCTTGGGTAGAGCTGTACCTACCAGGTCACTGCCTTTACAAACACACACAAACAAGGCCTTGTAATAGATGATGTCTATCTGGCCTGAGGCCTCGCAGTCATTCTGCTGAAGGTTATTTGAAACTGGTGGGCTCTGCACACATTTATTGGGCCCCTGCCATGTGCTGGGCATCATTAGGCCATGGATGAGCAGGCAGTGCAAGGCAGACATTGTGATGGTGTTAATCATAGCGTTAAGCCACAATCCTGGAGACAAGCCCTCACAAATCCAGGATCAGTAAGGCCTCTCTGAAGAAGGGACTTCAAGCAGAGGCAGGTAACAGATACAGACTTGCTGAGGTGAGGGAGGGTTGAGATTCAGAGGTGGGGAGTGGGTAAGAGGCATGCAGCCCCCCGGTAGTCCAGACTTTGTATTTGGTCTGGGACCAACAAAGCCAAGATGTGCTTTTTGTGTACACAGCAGAATGTACTGATTATCTGCTGTGGGCCAGGCCAGGCTCTGGGACACCAGGGACTCCTGTGCATCTTAGGCCACCAGGGCTGGGGCTGGCAGGATTCAAATCTGGCTATGGGCAGGGATGGGTTTCTTCCCTTTACAATTAGCCAATCTAGCCCAGGCACTTGGGACCTGGGGAAAGGAAGAGACTGCGGCAGGCTGGGGACATGCCAGAAGCTGGCCCTTCTCTCAGGGTCATGATCACCAACTGGCTTCTACCCACTATCACACACTTGGCCAGCTCAACAGAGCAGAACTGGCTTGGTGCTGCTATTCTCCCCAAAGCTCCTAAAAAGCACTAGGCCCCAGTGGCCCTCCCTAAACATAAGGTTTCATTGTTGTCCCCCAGCTCTTCCCTGGGTTGGTGCACGAGGGTTGCTGGTTTTGTCACATAAGCTCCATGAAGGCCAGGATTGGGTTCTGGTTTGGTATTCCCAGCACACAGGCAGGTACTCAATGTCTATGGTACTTGATAAGGACACACAAAAAGTTCCAAAACTCCTCCAGCTGTGAGGAGAGCTGGCTTTGGATGGATCCAGGCAGGTATGTGTACTGGTGTGCTGGAGTGTCAGCTTATAGGCGGAGGTGAATGTGTACAGGTTGAAGTGGAGGCTTAGTTGGGCTCAGCTGTCTAGCTTGTCTCCTTAGCTGGGGGCATAGGGCCTGCAGACAAGGTGGGGTGGTGCCAGTGAGTGGGCAGCCTGTGGCCCCCTCTGGCATCAGCACTACCAGTGCAGTGGTGTGGGTTGGGGACCAGGGGAGGACTTCTAAGCCACCCAGCCAGGTCATTCCCTGTCTCAACAGCCGAGAACCACTTGCTTTCTTTGGATGTGGCATCTGGGTATCTTTTTCCCTCTGAAAAGCACTGTAGTCCTCCTGATCCATGTAGTCCTCCCCTAGTGCACGCCCGTGGCCTGGGACAGTATAGAACCCTATATAAACTACATTTTTTTTTCTATATGGCATACCTATAATAAAGTTTAGCTTATAAATTAGGTACCATAAGAGATTAACAACAATAACAAATGATAAATAGAATAACAATATACTGAAATGAAAGTTATTTAAAACTTATGTTTAGTTCTGTAATTTTCCTTTAGATATTTTCAGATCTCAGTTGACTATGGGTAACGGAAACATGGAAAGCAAAATCTTGGATATAGGGGGACTATGTACACAAATAGCTGGGTGGCCTGGCTGGAGCCCTGGGGCAAAGAAGAGCTGCCCTGGTGTCCATGCTGCTGAGTAGAGGGCTAGGGATGGCCTCTATCCTGGCAGTCCAATGCCCCTAGTCCAGGGCCTGCCCAAGTAGGCCAGCTGGGTGGAGAACTTACTGCACACAGGAGGAAAAGAGTTCTTTGGAGGGCCTCTGCAGGAGCTTTGCCTCAGTCTGGGAGACCAGGTCTCGGTCAACTTGGACGATGAAAACTGGGGACTGTAAGACAGAAGGAAAGGGAAGCAGTCAATGAGGAAAGAGGGGTAGGGTGGCCCAGCTACCCTACTGGTGCTGGGGCAAAGCCGATCCCAACACAGCAGGGAACACAGCTGCCTGCCAAGCATGTAGCCATCCATCCCCTGCCCCTACAGCTGGGCTGTGTGTGTGGACAGTGTGTGGTGGTGTGGGGAGATGGCTAAATTGGAAAACTAAATGAGCGTCAATTTAGAGTGAGATTTCTGGCTCTGTCAGTCCTCCTCATGGAGGTCACTTGACTCCTCTGAGCTTCACTCCTCACCTGCACAATGACAGACCCTGTGGCTTGGGCCTGAGGTCAGAACAGACAAGATATGCGAAGGCTCACAGCTGGAAGGATCTGTTTAATGCGGCTTAGCCCATTTGCAAGCTCCCATCAAGTGTGGTCCCTTGGCCACTCTGGGCCTGTTTCCTCTGAAAGGAAAGGTGAAGGTGAATACCTGCTCAGGCCCAGGGATCAAGAGTGAGAATGTTGGCATGGGGAAAAGTACAAGGGAGTGGGGAGGCTCATTAGGGAGGGAGGGAGAGAGGGAACTCGTGGCCATCCTGGTTCAGCTCTGAAGATGGCAGACCTGGGTTTGAATTCCAGACCTGTTCATGTGTGGGCCCTTCATCTTAACCGCTTAGATTCAATGTTCTCAGGACAAGGAGGAATCATCTTTCTGCAAGAACACACCAATGAAACCGTCAGGTACAGCACCTGGCCCAGATCCTAGCATGCAGTAGCAAGCATGAAATAAATGTCTCCACTGTCACCTTTCTCTCCTTCTAGGTTAAGCTGTGGCCAGAGTATCTCAAATTTGAAAGGATAGTTCCAAGAGCCTCTGTGTCCTGCTCAGGAGCAGTAGCCACTCTGGGAGACGGCCCCACCCAGGGTGGGCCTCACCCACTGGTCTCCTCCCTGCCATTCAGCTTGCCAGCTGCTCCCAGGCCCTGACTCACCAGCTGGGCTTCGAGGTGGGTTTTTAACAAATTACAGGGAAAATTGAGAAAATTGCCGGAGTGGGCTCAAAAAGACAGAGCGTAAACATCTTCCTCCCCCAAAGGATACTGGAATCTGAAAGGCTTGCTTTTTCTCCCACTACTGAGATGTGACTACGGGGCTGACAACTCCGCTAAGTCTAATGGGTGGTACCTGCAGGGGGCTTGAATCTGGGGGTGGCGGGGGAGTTGGCAGCAGCTGGCAGGTCCCCATAACTCTGAATGCCCCAATTCCTTCCTTCCTCCCTCCCTTCTTTCCCAACTCCACCCTCTCTGTGGGCTCCCTCGTGCCCCCTTGGAGTTGCCCCCCTTGGCTGGGCCTAAGGGGCTCCTTCCCTGGTGGGGGTACCAAGCCTTTTACACCAGGCTGAGCACATGTGCCTACCAGTTGCCATGGGCTTCCGTCCACCCTGCCTTGGACCAGTCCTCCCTCCCTATGCTAAGAACCTTGGCTTCCAGAGCAACAGCAGCCCTCTTGCAGAGAAGATGCATGTTCTGACCTCTGACCTAGGCCATTTTGTAGATCCATCTCCTCCCCTGTGACAGGAGGGAGCTGCTCCAGAGATTCTTGAAGCTCCTTTGAGACTTGGGAATTGATGACTGGGAGTGGGGGGTTCTAAGATGTGGGGGTGGATTGTGGCAGTGTAGTAGCTTGGGAGCCAGTAACTCCAGGCTGCCTCAGAATAATCAAATATAAAGGCAAACCATTAGCAAAGGGTGAATCTGTTTCAGATAGCTGGGGTGACCTGGTAGGGAGGGCCCTGTGCCTGGCACCACAGGGAACCTGCTATCTATTTATTAACCAGTGAGATGATAGAATTTGTTGTGCCAGGATATGACCTTGAACCAGATGCTGAGTGCATGGGCTGGGGGAGGGATGGAATCATTTCTTGGACCTAAGGAAGAGGGACTTGAGTTGCCCACCTGTCTACATTTGGAAGTACAACTTGACCAGGGATCTGCATTTGTTTTTACCCAGGAAGGACCCAGCCTACTCACCACAGGCCCAGTTGGGGGCTAGTACAGGGCAGGGGCAGGAGAGTAAAAGTGAAGCCAGGATGGTCCTGACCTCAAGTATTTTCTCCAGGAAGACATAAATGATACATTGTAAGCAATATTCTGACAGAAAAGTTGGTACTCTATTTGTCTACATAAAATGAGCTAGTTGGAACTCAAAGGCTTTCAAACCATTTATTTATTCATGTATTCATTCATTTATTTATTTATTTTTGGACAGCAGTACTGGAGATTGAACTTGGGGCACTGAACTTGCTAGGCACTTGAGCCATGCCCCCAGTTCTTTCGCTTTTAGCTTGTTTTGCAGACAGAGGCTCGCAGTAATGTTGCCCAGGCTAACCCTGAACCATGATCCTCCTACCTCTGCCTCTGAAGTAGCTGGACCAGGTGTGCACCATCACACCTGACTTGTTTTTGAGGCAGGGTCTTGCTAACTTTTGCCTGAGCTGAGCTCAAACTGTGATTCTCCTGTCTCCAATATCCAGGTAGCTAGTCAAACTTTTTTTTAATTTTTAGCAACAAACTTTTCTCCAGTTCCAAATGAAATTTATCTATAGACACAATATTGAAAATCAATAAAAATAAGCAGTGACCAATAATTTGTATCTATTGAAGGCTAACCCTGAATGCATGGAAACAACTTATGTGCACTATCTCATTTAATTAGCATTATGGCTCCAGGAGTATTTTTTTGATGCCCATTTTGCAGATGAGAAAACTGAAGTTCAGAAAGGTTAAGAAATGACCCTAAGATCACCCGGCCAAGAAGTAGCAGAGAAGGGATTTGAATCCTGGGTAGGTGACGCTTGAGTGAGATCTGCATGGAGGTAGAGGGCAGTCTGGGGACCTCTGGGCTCCCCTCTCATTCTTCCCTCATCTTGCAGGAGGCTCCTGAGTGTGGCGTTAGTCACTGGGGTCTGCAGGGCACAGTGAGGTCCTGCTAGCAGAAGCAAATGATGCAGTTCAGGGCCACAAGCCCTAACTTGTGATGGGACAGTTCATTTGGGGTTGAGGTCATCTGGGAAAGGCTTGACAGAAGAGAGAGTCAGAAGCAAAGCAGGAACTGACCTTGGACCTCCCATTCTCATTGACTCCCACCTGCAGACAAGGAAAGCCAACTGGGTCACTTCTCAGGGATGGCAGGGGCTGCCCAGAGTGTAGAGGTGACCCAGCTGTGTGCCTGAAGTCACTCCATTCTCATGCTTTGGAGTTGGCTGCTTCTAGGCAGAGCCCTGGCAGGGGAATTACAGAGCAGATATAACACCTTTGGTTTAGTGACCATGGCTTTAAACTCGGCCGATGGTTCGACACAAAGAGATTAAGTGATTACAACCAAAATCCCTTTCAAGTGCCTCCGGAGAGTAACAGCTTTGCCAGCAAAAAGCTCTGGTCATTGTAAGTCTGGAACAGAAACCTGAAGTTGCCAGCACAGAGAAAAGACTCGGGCTCAGACCCTAACTTTCCTCTGAAGAGCCAACTGCCTGCACCTTCTGGCTGCCTCCTCTGCTAGACTAGCTCTATTCTTCCTGACATTTATGCTGCCAGTTCTGGGGACACGGGCAGTTCCTGAAGTCCACGTTAACCATATTACCTTTTCAGGCAGTGAGAGATGAAGGGTGCGTGGGTGTTCTTCTGGGCCCTTCACACCACTCTGAAACTGGCAGGCTCCTGACAATGGATGACATGGGCCTAGGATGGTTCTGACCTTCACTCCTCTCTTCTCCCTTCATCCTCATCTTCTGTGTCCTCCACTGCCTGCGGCCCCAGTCTTCAACATGCTGGCTACACAAAACCGCTCATCTTCTGCTCCATCACAGTGAGCTTTTGCAACGCTCAGGCATAGTGCTGGTGACCAGTAACGAATCAAGGCACTATAGGCCTCACAGTTTCTACAGGACTCAGGTTGGGATGGTGGTCTGGTTGGATGGAAGAGTTGGGGCAGTCCTGAAGCTGTGTTTCTATGATGATGGATTTAGAGTGAACATGTGCTTGTTTGGGGTGCCTTGCTGATTGAGAGACTCTACACGGGAAGTCTAACCTCCTCCTTCCCCTAGTACTGTGGGTATGGCATTGCTCTATGCTTCACCTTCCCAAGTCCTGACAGTAGCTTCAGAAAGCCTTCTGTGCCTAACCTGAAGCAGAAATATGCCAGGGAATCTCAGTTTCTGAGGCAGGCTGAGTAGGGCGGGTGGTGGTGAGGGAGGTGTGGGCCTGGTTTGGGATGAAGCCACCTGATGGGCTGTGCTCAGCATCCAATCCAGGAAGCATGTGCGGATCACCCACACACACCCAAGGCCTCTTTCTGATGCTTAAACGCCCACCCTCAGTGACCTAACGGAGAGAAGAATCCAAACGCAAGGGCAGGCCGACAATCCAACCCCAGCTCAACCTCAATCCATTCGGCCAAGGCCAGCCGCTGAGCAAATGGCCCACAAGGTGGCACAATTGAGTCCCCATGTTACTGAGTGTCCCCTCGCAGCCCAGGGAGACACCCCACAGGGAGACAGCCTGAGGGGCTCACAGAATAGGGAGGCTGGAGGGACATACCTGAATTGGTTACTGAGGCGTTGCTCTCAGATCTGAGGAGGGAAACCTTTGCAACAACAGTTGAGGAGGAAAAATCAGAGAGCGATTTGTGAAGGAGCCCTTGGGTGATAAGATGAGAACTGGACGTGGAAGCAAGGGAGGATTTACACGGGTGGAAAGGAATTGCACGGTAAAGGTCTGGGGCAGCAGTCAGCACACAACAGGGAGAAGATGCTGCTGCAGGGTGAGGAAACCTCTCTAGATAATGGAAAACACACAGGAATGGATGACAGGTGTGCTGCTATGGTGGGAGGCTGACCTCATATCTGGAGGCTGCCAAGTCATCAGCCCTGAGGAGGACATCACAAAGGCTTTGCAATTGGTGGCCTCGGTGGCTGCACCTGCTCTCCAAGGCACTGTTTCCCTCTGCAGTGTGAATG